ACACACACACACACATACATACATACATACATACATACAACATTCGGCAAATTATAGTAAGATGTTTTGATTTGATTATTTATTTTACGCATGACAGCGATGGTGTCGCTACAAGCAGCACCCTAACATAGCCAAGATTGGTCGGCGCAGTTCCTCAGCAGCTCGTCGACACTACGCATGCAGTGTAGTGATTCACAGATGATATCACTCGCTCCCGGATTTACTTGGCCCCGATCTTTCTCCTACTTCGTCACTGAGACGGAGCTCTGGATTAGCGTCGCCTAATCTCGGCCTCAACGCCGCATCGTCCTCCGTTAATCGACTAATCATCGTGGAGCTTATGTCGTCTGTCCAGCCGACATCGGGGCGACGCCGCCCGTCTACGGGATCTATAAATTAAACCGAGACACAGTTCGCTCGGCGAGTCTTCGTTACACTGCCTGCCCCGCGGCCGTCGGTGCTATGCGAGGACGGTACGGCAGCGGCGCGGCAACCCGCATGCGTGAGCTTCTAGATCGTCTTCTACCTCGCTATCGAGTATTCTCGTTAGCGGTAGCTGCAGGGGAGAAATCAAGGCTCGTTACTCTGCTATCCTCGGCTGGCGCCAATTCCATCTTGTTGTTGTTTTTTCTTTTGATTGTGTATCGTGTCTCGTGTTTTGTGCTTGTCTTCTGTGTCTTCTGGTTAGTCTCGTGTCTCGTGTTTTCTGTCTCGTGTCTCGTGTTTTCTGTCGTATGTCTCGTGTTTTCTCTCGTGTCTCGTGTTTTGTGCCTTGTGTTTTGTGTCTGTGCCTTGTGTTTTGTGCGTCATGTCTTGTGCTTTGTAACTCGTATCTCGTGTTTTGTGTATAATTTGTGTTTGCGCATTAGTGCTGCGTGCCCCGGCTACATTGTGTCTGAATATGAAAAGAGCTATGAACTCGCCAGGGGGCGCTGACGGCGATGCATTATGGCCGCGCATTACCGCGCTTTGAGGCCCTGCTAATGCGTATATCACGCGCTACCCAATCCACCTCCTATTTTCTCGCTCCCTCTCTCTCTCCCCTTTTCCTCCCTTCCTCGCTCGCTCTCTCTCTTTCTCTCTGTCTCTCTGTCTCTCTGTCTCTCTCTCTCTCTCTCTCTCTCTCTCTCTCTCTCTCACGCTCGCTCGCTCGTGCTTTCTCGCTCTCGCCCGTGCTTTCTAGCTCTCTCTCTCTCTCTCTCTCTCTCGCTCTCTCTTTCTCCGTTCCCTTTCTCTCTCCATCTCTCTCTCTCTCACTCTCTCCCCCCCCATTTCTCTTTCTCTCTCTCCCTCTCCTTCGCCATCCCGCCATAACACTCAGTTCATCTCTGTGCGTGAGTCCATTAGCGTTTATTGACGCGCGTCCAGGCGCCCGCCCACCCGACGGCGTGCATCCAGTTGACCGCATGAACGTTGCGCATGCACGGGTGTGTTGGTTCCCCCGCGCTGCCCCGTCTGTTACGTGAAGCAGGCAGTAGTAGTAGTAGTAGTAGCCAGTAGCAGCCAGTAGCAGTAGACCAGTAGTCATAGCAGCTAGCAAGTAAGCAGTAGCAGTAGCATAGCGTAGCATAGCAGTAGGCAGTAGCAGTAGCAATAGCAGTAGCAGTAGCAGTAGCAGTAGCAGTAGCAGTAACAGTAGCAGTAGCAAGGGAGGAGCAGGAGGGAGAAGCTAAGTCACACGCAGGGATTAAACAAGATACGATGAAGTGAGACAACAAGATGACAAAGCAGAACGGGAAATACGACAAGATGCAGGGATAACATTAAATAGGATGCTGGGATAAAATGATCATGAGATAGGAAATTAGGATAAACTGAGATGAGATGAGACGCGGAATTAAAATAAGATGAGAGTCAAATGAGATACGAAGTAGTGATAAAATCAGATGAAATGCGAAGATAATATGAGACACGAAGTAGGAATAATATGTGATAAGAATTATGATGTAGGAATAAAATGAGATAAGATGGTGGCTAAGTTGAGATAAGAAGCAGGGGTAAAATGAGATGGG